AATAATAATTATATCCTGAACAGTTGACTGCACCTACTTATTGTGCTGCATTAAATCTTAATTATTAATAAGCCTATGTAATGTCTTTTAATATAAGTTATCTATTAGAGAAATTATATTTTCAAATGCTCATTGATTACTTATAAAATAGCAAAGTTACTTAAAGATTATATCCAAAGACCTTCTAGGAAAAAGACACCACAGTATTGAATGCTTATGAAATTGTTTATGATGATGTTAATGATAAACTACATGTATTCATTCATATAGCAGTATAGACACCAGAAATTTCATTTACATTTAATGCCTCCTGTTTCATCATACTGTTGTTTTCAAAATGTCATTTTGCACATAGGTCCATTCGTATGTATATTAGTCCCTGTGTAAGATGAGTTGGTATAAAAGACACTTACGAACTTTATAAGAGCATTTATAATGAATAATTCTTTAGCAAAGTATGTTTTTTTTTTTTTTTGAGAGGTTTTTGCTATAGGGCACGTTGCGCTCGCCAGAAAGACAGAGAGAGAGAGAGACAGAAAGCGAGAAATCACCTCCCAGGGGGGATGGCCACGCTGTAATCCCTTCTCCTCCATTCTTCTCTTGGGATCTTGGGCACGCACACACACGCACCTGGTGTGAGTTTAAGCTACTGGGTCCCAGACTCGAACCATGGTTGACTACATGGGAGTCCAGTGACATAGCCATTACACTAACTGCTGGTCCCTAAACAAGTATGTATTGACCATGACTGTAAAATTGTAGAAAAGAAAATATTTAATTTAGAGTATTATGGATCCTCCAGTGTTGGAATCCAATAAGTAATAAGTTTTAAGTTTATAGAAATATTCCTTTAATCCAGGGATATAGGAAGGATGATGCTTGTTACTGGATGCTTATTGTGTTTCAAGCATCTGTTCTAAGTGCTTTGCATTTATCACCAGCATGCATTATCTTATTTAGTTCTAACAATCTGTGAGGTAGATATCATTTATGTCCCCTTTATAGATCAGGAAACTGAGGCAGAGAGACATTTGTAAGTGATTCAGTCTGGATCTGAACAAAGGCAATACAGAGGTTTTTAATTCTTATGCTTAAGAAACATATTACTCTGCAAAACAAATAAATTAATGTATGCATATATGTATTAGTTTTTTTAAAAGGATATTTAGGTACCTTTGATATTTATACCTAGAAGCAAGCTCATTAGTATGCAAACAAGCAAGCTAACTAACCAAGAAACAAAACCAGTTGTTTTACTACAAAGTAAAATCCTGTTTTATGTGTAGAGTTACTAAAGCAGAACATTAATGTACTGCTCATGAATATAGACAAGTAGCAAGCTATAATATAAAAACAATCCAGATGGAGGGGATTTATTGGTAAATATTGGTACATAAAAATAGTAGTGTAATAAATTTCAAGGAATAAGAATATTATGTTCATAAGTAGAGGAAGAGTAGATATTAACAAGAAGAGAGAAACATAAGCGTGTTTATGTAATAATCAACTGGAATCTGATGGAATAGCAATGCTTCCTTGGATTTTGAATTCTATGTTAGTAATATCTAGATTTAGATTGTCAAGTCATCCTGTAATTACCTGATTAGTTGTTTGTTTAAACGCCTATGCAGAGGGGAACTCCTATTCTTGTTATAGTGGTTTATGTTGTAGTCTTTCAGCTTTTCTGGTGTTTTCTCCACCTCTAACTGGTTAGGTCTTTCATTTTTAATAGCAGCAGCATGTTGAATTGAGGGTAATATTGGTTACTTTTTTTTAAGAGCATAGGAATACATCTTGTATACTTACATTATGGTTTGTGTTCATTTAAACAGATTCCAAAACTGAGTTCTATCAGTCTGTTTTTTTAGATTAAAAGTAATAATTCACTGCTTCAACAAATATTTATTGCTTTTATGGTCAGTATGGGCAGAACCCGATAGATAAAATGATTGACTAAACTGAAACGTTTCTCAACTGACAAAGACTTTTCAGTTAGATTTGCTTTATGTGTGGGTGAGAGTTGTGGAACAATATTTGTTTTTTTTTTTTACTGGAAATACTATTATGACCTCGTTCTGACTTTTCAACTGGAGCACAACACCAGGGCAAGAAATAAAATGGATCACTTTATATTCCCATATTCATCTGACTCCAGACCAAAATATCTAAAAATATCTATTAAAAGACATTAATTATATTACTAGCAAATTGTGTAAAATGCATAGGATGTGTGAACTGCTGAGATGGCTGAAAATGGACTTGTACTCTTTACTCCAGCCTTAGTGTGGGCCTTCGCACTTCATTTCTTATTAACAGCTAAAGCCTTCTGATTGATCTGGCTTACAGTTTCTGTTCTCACTCCTCAGTCTATTCTGCAAACAGGTATTTGAGTAATTTGAATGCAAGGTACCTCTGCCTTGCGGAAAGGTGTCTGGTTGCTTTTGATTACCTGAAGCCAACAGTTTCTCTGTGAAGAAGACTCTCCACCCTCTTGGCTCTTCATCTCCATTTCTGCCCTTTATCCAAGTCCTCTTTCATTACGTTCTAGCCTGTAACTCTGGCCTGTTGTCTAAGGCTAGCGTGTCCTGTTCTCTTCTCATCACTGCCTGATTCCTATCTGGCTTTCAAAAGGCTTATTTCTTTGGGAAAAAATATTCTCCTGATTCTCCTAACCTACACAGATCTTTTATCCCTCTTTTGACTGAGAGTACTTTTCCTCGCTCATTTTTTTTCCCCCTTGAATAATATAGTTTTTACTTAGGCGGCTTGTTAAGCTTTTGGGAAACTGAGTCTTATCCCTCTCTAGACCATCTAGACCAGATGCGGAGGGTAATGTGGCTTGGCACAGTGGTTAAGTGAGTGCGCCTTGAATTTAGACTATGGGTCTGCTTCTCGGCTCTGAGCAAGTTAGATACTTTCTCTAAGTCTCAGTTCCCTTTTCTGTAGAGTCAAGTCATTATTAGTTCCAAACTTTGAGTCAGCTTTTTTTTTTTCTTTTTCATTTGAAAACAGTCCTTTTACTGTATGCTCACTGAACTAAGAACAATGCCTTACACACTTAATAAATAGATTTATTGGCTTATGGTCTGTTTAGTAAAACGTAAAAACATTTCCTCCACTGTTAGTTCTCTCTTGATCCTTCTTAGGGCTTCTCCTGGACAGGTTCACTGGGCAGTCTCCCATCTTTTGCTTTAGGACAAGAAACTATTTGACTTATATACTGGGTAGGTTAACCTGCTATGGGCAGAGGGATTTCTCTCTGAAACATCTCCTAGTTTTTTTTTTGTTTTTTTCTTTTTTTTTAAGTTTTTGTTTGTTTGTTTGTGGCATGGAGTGTGTTAGCTTGCCAGAAAGAGCTGGTTTGGGAGGGAGGTGAGCACCTCCCAGTGGAGTATGGTCACATCGCAATCTCTTCTCCATTTCTCCATCCTATTGGGATTTGGAGCGTGCATGCTGATACGCCGGCTGTGTTTTCAAGCTGCTGGGGCTGAGATTCATTTTTTGAGATTAAGCTGAGTCTTCTTTTATTTATTTATTTATTTTTTGAGATTTTTGCTATAGGGTGCATGCACTCGCCAGACAGAGAGAGAGAGAGAGAGACAGAGAGACAGAAAGCGAGAAATCATCCCCCAGGGGGGATGGCCACGACACAATCCCTTCTCCTCCATTCTCCTCTCGGGATCTTGGGTATGCACGCACATGCGCCCAGTGTGAGTTTAAGCCACCGGGTCCGGGACGTGAACCACTGTTGACTACATGGGAGTCCAGCGACATAGCCATTATGCTAATTGTTGGTCCCGAGATTAAGCTGAGTCTTTATAATGAGATTCATGTAAACTGAGATAAGCAGATGGCATAGCGGTTACAATGCTGGACTGTAGCTCGAGTCCCAGACTTGGTGGCTTTAGAATCATGCCCAGTACGTATGCACGCATGCTCAAGATCCCAGGAGAATGGAGGAGAAAGGACTGCGATGGCCATCCCTCCTTGGTGGTGATTTTTCACTTTTCCTTATCATCTTTCTCTCTCTCTCCCCACTGCAAGCACACGTACCCTAAGACAAAAACCTCTAAAAAACAATCCATGTAATTATACATAATGAACACTATAATGTATTTTACTTTACCCATTTTTAGGCAATTTATGCTAGTGTTGACTTAAGCAGTATTCATTGAACCTTCAAAACAACTCTATGAGGAACCAGCAGTTAGCGTAATGGCTATGTTGCTGGACTCCCACATAGCCGACTGCGGTTCACGTCCCGGACCCGGCGGCTTAAAACTCACACCGGGCGCATGTGTGTGCATGCCCAAGATCCCGAGAGGAGAATGGAGGAGAAGGGATTTCGGCGTGACCATCCCCCCCGGGGGGTGATTTCTCGCTTTCTGTCTCTATGTCTCTCTCTGTCTGTCTGGCGAGCGCACGCGCCCTATAGTGAAAATCTCTCCAAAAAAAAAAAAAAAACAACAACAACTCTATGAGAAGATGCTAATACAGCTTAGAAAGGAGGCACTGGAGAGCATAACTAACTTCCCATCACCACAGATAGTAAGTGGTGGGACTGGAATAGATGCCGGGCAGGGGGGCTGTGCACCCCAATCACAGCCACTACGTCTCCCCACCTTTCTCTAAGTATTACAGAATCGTTAGTCACCTCTGCTGTGTGCGCTCTCGAGTTGTCTCCTCAGCCAGCAGCTTAGTGGTGTCTGAGGCATCTAAAGTCAAGCCAGCTGTGCATTCAACTCCTCAGACTTTTTTCCACCTTCATTTTAGTTTACAATATGGAAAGAAAGGAAATAACACATTTGCTCTGTGATTAAAAGCACTGGATGCTGTACAAACCCATGGGAAAGTCGCATGCTAAAATTAATGCCTACTGTTATTGGAAATGAGAAGATGTACTATTTCGACAATAGGAACAATGAAAATGTGATGTACCAAGTATGTACTGTCGAGATAGTTTGGGAACTTAACACCTCTGATCCTTTTATGCATTTTAGGACTTCCTGGGACAAGTATTTTGTACCTTGGGGGAAATTGTTGGTTCACAAGGAAGTCGCCTGGAAAAGCCAATAGTGTAAGTATTTTTCAATTCAGACAATGAAATGTTAAGTCTTTAGTTTCTATTTTGGGAGTTTGAAATTTATGTATCCATAGTTGTAGACCAAAAGTGGCTTTTAAGATCTTGTTTGAGTTTTTTCCAACAAATAATTGTAACATAGTTGTAAGAGTAATTTATATTTCAGTTGCCATGTTGTGATGAAAATGTTCACAGGATGAAATAGTCATATTTAGGAAGGAAAATAAGGTGTGCTCCTTTTGGTTGCACTGTTAATTGTTAGATTTAATACTTTTTAAAAAGCAGAATTTACTCCTATGGGTCACAGACTGTATGCAGAACCACCTTTTATTTTATACCGTATGTTTAATGTATGCATTCTAGTGATTGAGATTTTAATACTAACTTTACTGTAAAATTGGCCAGAAGATTAATCAGTGTGTAAATGTTGAGAAAAGGCAATAACTAAGAATGTTATCTCTTCTCCTCACCTTCAGTTACTCAAGACCATGTTTAATTTTCAGATCAGTTGCGTAGATGGAACCTATTCTTTTCCAGTTCTAAAAAAAAATGCAGAAACCATTCTAGAAATTTTCTATGCCTTTTTTCCTCCTCTTCCTCCTTTATTCTCCTCTGTAGTCCTGATTATTTGGAATCTCTCACTTTCTATAAAAATCAGAAGACCTAGGAAGAATGGTACAATTGCAGAGCTAACCACAATGTCAAAATGTTTGTGAAATTTGAAGTCTGTGGGACCAACAAATGGCATAATTGTTATGTTTCTGGACTTCCATGTAGGTGACCATGCTACTGTGTGTGTGTGTTTATGTGTGTGTATACTTATACACACTATGCTTCCTTTAGCCATTCATCTATTAATGGACTCAGGTTGACTGGCTATTGTGAGCTGTCCTCTAGCAAACATTGGCGTGCAGATATCTCCACAACAGGTGGACTTTTTCCCTTTGGGTATGTGCCTAATAGTGAGCAGTGCCCCTGCATGATGCAGTATACTGCTGTATCATTCAGCAGTACTGTTTTAGTTTTTTGAGGACTTTCCATACTGTTTTTCATAATGGCCAGATGAATTTGCATTTCTACAAACAGTGTAAAATAATTCTCCTCTATCCATGTTCTTAACAACATTTGTTATTTTTTGTCTTTTTAATAATAACCATTCTAATTAGGATAGGATATCTTACTGTGATTTTGATTTGCATTTCCCTGATGATTGGTGGTGTCCAATATTTATTCTTATGCTTGTTGAACATTTGTGTGCTTTAAGAAATGTCTATTCAGATTATTTGCCTATTTTTTAAAGTCAGATTATTTGCTTACTATTTTTTGCTGCTGAGTTACTTGATACTTTGTATATACTGGTTATTAATCTTTCATTTAATGTATAGTTTAAAAATATTTTTTCTCATGACATAGTTGTCTCTTGCTCTTTTGTTAATGTCCTTTGCTGTGTAGAAGGCTTTTTTCCCCCCCATATAATCCTATTTATCTATTTTTGCTTTTTCTCCCTATACTTTGAGGTCTTAGTTACAAAATATTTGCCTAGCTATAATTCTAACTTATTAGATTGTTAAATTATAAATGTTTTTCCTTAGTGGAGATATTAATATTAGCTTTGAAACATGTTAAAATTTGATATTATTATAGCAGTTGGTATATGTGGTGAATAGAACGTAGCTTAAAACGTGGTCCTTGTTCACCTGATTCAGTAATTCTCACTAGACAATACCAAAAAGTCAATTTCATACCTAGGTTAAAGATGGGTAGAATATAAAGATGTTAGGAGATTTTGCTGGTGGCTGAATCAGGATCATCTTGCATAATCAGAAAGATAGGGAAGCCCTTTTTCTTAGTATTTGCTGAGGGGGGGTCACATAGTGAAGCAAATCTTGGAAACCTGTTTATACCGTGTGGATCTACTGTCATTACACTCTGCTTCATTTGGACAAAAGTTTCTATTTTTGTCTAAGTTGAAAAATAATTTTGTAATTTAGACGATTTATCAAAACTCTTCATGTTATAGCTCTTATTTAAAAAGGCCAAAAAGGGTTCAGTCTTCTTTTTTTTTTTATTTGTTATTGTTATTTTTATTTTTTTTATTTTGACCAGAGAGAGACAGATTCAGAGAGAGATGGAAAGCAAGGAAGCAAGCTGCCAGGTCCAAGACTCTAACTGCAATCGATCATGTGGGAGTCGAGTGCCTCAGCTACCATGTTACCTGCCAGCCCAGGCATTTGGTTTTCTAAGTGTATGTAACTGATCTTTGAGTCAGCCTTTGACCTGACTGGAGAATCCCTCACATAGACATAAGAAAAAAAATTGAAAGTGGGCTTCGATTTTGGATTTTTCTAAGAACGTCGAACTAGGCAAGCGTTAATAGTGAGTAATGAAATGTAGACTTGAGTAGAGCAAAGACATTGCCTCCGAACGGAAGAATCAAAAAAAACAAAACTACAGGAACTGCAGAATGAAGCTTTGGAATATTGGGAATTAAATTATAGATACTCCAGATAAATGAGAGGAAAGAGATGAAAGAGAAAAATCAAACAGGAGACATTAATTAGAAATAAGAGAGTCAATAGCTCAGTACAGTGGTGCACCCTGTAATCGCAGTTGCTCGGGAAAGGAGGATTACAAGTTCAAGGCCAGTACAGGTGCCACTGTGAGACATTACTGAAGGGGGGAAAATAGAAAGGAGGAACACGAGGAAAGAAAGGAAAAGAAATAGAAAAAGGAGATTAAAACAGAATGTGATTAGTTTGTTAGTGGAAGGATAGTTTGGCTCTATTAATTAAAGCATCCAAAGATATACCCATGGGTTGTTACCTGAGCAGCTGCTGCTATCCAGTTGATCACTGTATTGGAAAAATCATTTTGTAGCCATCTTTCTCATTACTTGAGAAAAGATTGGCATTTATAAAAAATAAAAAAAAAAAACTAGTTGCAAGAGAGGCATTTATTGGAGGAAGATGATGTGGATTGAACAAGGTCTAGGGCTGAGTGTGACGTTCAAGTACTTTGAGAGAAAATGCAGCTTCTGTGCAAATAGCATTTTACTCCCTTACCTCAACCTCAAATGAAAGGCAATCAAGATCATCGATACTTTTTCTGTGAAAAAGCACAGCTGGGTTGAGAAAGAGAGTGAAATGCTGTTTGCATAGAAGCTTATCTGGTCAACTCCACAAATTCCTACAGATTTTACACTCATCTTGATAACTCCTGCCTTGACATTCTTTTCTCTATACTTTGCTTTTTCCTAAAGTCAATCGAATGAGAAAATGGAGAGGAGAGTTGGGAAGGTTGGAAGGTATGGAATGTTTAAATGGAAGAGAGAATGGGCTTGGAAGAAAGGACAGAGCCAGGGGGAATATTGGAGATGGTCCCAGGTCAGGCATGTTTTCTGCTCAGGCTGGAGTCTCAGTGACACACACAACTTTTAAAGATTCCATGGTTTATCATATAATATATAAAAGGAGTAGAATATATGGAAGCATGGCAGAGTGATGAAAACATTCACATTGGGAAATAATAAATATTTAAGATGTAGATGTTGCATCTATTTCTCTTTGTCTGCACTGACTCCACCCACTCCCACTTCCTTCTTGTTCCACTCCCTGCAACCTGTGTAAACCTGCCCTGGCGGGGCTTAGCTCTCCAGTGACAGATAACATTGTAGGAGAGTCGCTAAATATTCTGCTATTTTTCACGGTCTGTTCCTCATGACTGGAGATAGAAATTATACACTCTCTTGCCAGAGCCATTACTTTTTGCAATCCTGTTGCAGAGGAAGGTAATCTTTTGTTATTGTGATGGGAATAGTATGAATTGCAGCACAGGACACCTCCTGAGGCAGATAATCTACCTACAATTAACAAAATCTCATCACAAATGCAAAGTCCTCCTGTGTCCCACATGTCATTTATCTTAAATAGCATTATCCAAGTGATTTAACTTTTATTTACTAATTTGTTTTAGTTTAGAGATTTATTTTCCAATTAGTATATTCTGAGTCATTCAAAAATATTCCCTTGTTTTCTTCCCTTTAAATGGCCTAGTTTGAATTATTTTCTAATAAGATATTCAGAATAATTTCTTCTCCCTTCTTAATTATAATTGTGTTATAATACCTCCTCAAAGGTAGTCTTTTTAAATTGATGATAACTGTAAAATTTGGGAAATTAAAGGACACGAGTACTAAATTATTTATTGTTATTATCATCATTATTTTTTTAAGCTCTTTGCCAGGCATGTGAACTTGCTGAAGAGTGACAGAGAGGACAGAGAGAGGAAATGTGAGAAAACAGCCCCTAGGGGAATGGCCACACTGCAATCCCTTCTCCTCCCAATCCTCTTGGGATTTTGGACACACATGCACATGTACTGAGCATGATTTTCAAGACACTGTGGTGTCTTGACTCGAACTGTGGTTAGCCATATGGGAATCCAGCGCCTTAACCACCACACCACCTGCTAGCCGTACCAATCCAATTATTAATCAAGGTTTTGACTACTTGACTACTAAGTGAGGTTTGTTACAAGGAAGAAATGGTGTCTTGTAGTAGATAGCCTCATGCTTTATTAAATTATCAGAATTCAGAATTTTAATTTAAACTCAAGCCTTTTAAATTCCTGTGCTTTGGTTATTATTGTCATTTCCAGCATTAAATGTTGTCATTTAATTATGAGAATAAAAGTTTTTATTTTAAAATATTTTGTAGAAACTAAGATGAAATCATTTAAAATTGACATTCAAGAATTTTTAATTTGCTTTTAGGTAGCAACTCAAGATTTTTGCTGTCTCTAGCAGTCCGTTCTGTCAGACTTAAGCTTTAAGCAAACAAAATTTCTCCTATCTTCATTCTATCCTACACTTTTGGTCTTTTCCCAGAACCCTCCTAAAATGAGTCTTGTGCTACTTAATTTGTCTGCAGCATTTACTGTGCCTTCCTATGATGACTCATCGGCTCCTCTCTTTAGATCGTCCCATTATTATTTAGTAT